CTTAAATTTCAACAGAACAGAGATGCCAGAAATGTCAAAAATACCCAGTTTCTCCAACATGCAAAACAAGACTTTCCTTTCATATGAAAACAAAATGTTAAAGGTAAAAATTGTATGAGTCTTATTCAGTGGGAAGCTTTACTAACATGGTCGTAGGAGTATTTTCTAGATACTGAAAAGATCTAAGTAGGTACTTGATAAGTGCTTATCAGACCATTCAGAACCTTAATATTAAAGCAGGACAAGGCTGCAGGGGCTGAGGAATGCCTCGTTTCGAGCTGCTTATCCTTCACTGGAGAAAGCTTTGCTTTTTTTCACCACCAACTCTGCTTCAACATACCGTGTATAACGTCCTGGATTTAATTTTGGCCTGTTTGCATTTAAGAAAGGTTCTTACTTTTACTTCAGGAAAGGGAATCAAAAGAAGACCATGGAAGGTCACTTACTAAAGCGTCTTGAGTCAGCACCCCCTTCATCTCACCAGCCTTCCTTGAGTGCCCGGTGCCCCGGCCCTGCCCTGGAGGGCTGATGCTCTCAGGAGACATGCGCTAACCAATTAGGTCAAGTTTCCCGTACTCTGTTTCTGACACCTTAGCAGTTGGTGACAGGTGCTGGGAATGGTACAGGATGTCATGGGTCTAGAGAAACCTGAGTCCGTGAGTCCCCTACCCTCCTCTGAAGTTGTAGGGCGGTGCTTGGCGGCACCGTTGCCTTAGGACTGAAAGCCTCGAAGCCTCTGGAGTGGTTGGTTTTCGTTTACCCTTGTGGAAACTCTGGAAATAACTCAAAACCCAAGCCAGGGGTGCGGGAGCGCGTTGCAGATTGTGGTGTGCGTTCTTTCGTGGCGGACGCGTCAGGCTCCCATGCGCTCCGGGCGCTCGGTGCCGAGGGAGCCTCACATGGGCCCTTGTGGGGGGGGGGGGCGGGGAGGGAGGGCAGGGGGGCTGGCCTTGAGAAGGGACTTGCCCTTCCGTCTGGCATGTCGATCAAGGAAGTGAGCTTCATTCAATCCTGGCAAAAAATTAAAAAATGGTTTTAAAAATGGTTTTTAATTAAATATCTAGGGATACTTTTAGGAAATCCTCCTCCTCCTCCGATGCAACCAATTCTTTATCTGCGCAGCCACAGTGTCCTCGTAGAGGCGGGGAAGAAGCGACAAATGAGGGAGTTTCAGCAGCTGGCGTGACATTCCCACGCGATTCCTTGGCAAAGGCAGCAAATGACCGTGAGTCTGGCCCTGGGGGAGGGGCCGCGCCCCCGTCCAGGGCATCCAACCCCACGTCATTCGTTTTAAGAGCCACTGAGCTGGCTTCCCAGTTTGCACACGCAGCAGCTCCCGGCCGTGTGGACGCACAGGAAGCCCGCGCACGCGTGTCACGGAGCTGCGTCCACCGGGGAGCCGCCTCTCGTCCCCGCCCTGGCAGCGCTAGGCGTTAGGACCCGTTTTGTCGGAGGAAGAGCATTTACAAGGAGAACCGGGGCCGGGAACGCGAGCGGCCCTGCGGGGTCGCAGGTGGGGCGGTTCCCTCGCACCATCGCTGCCGCCCCGAACACCGTCCTCCGTCCTCCGCAAGCCCCGCGCCAGAGCCACTTCCACGGAGGCTGCAAGACCCGCCCGCTGAAGGAGGGCGGACACCGGGTTCCCCGGGGAACCCGGCGCACGGTGGCCCGGGGGCTGACACTGCGGGCACCCTGCCCGGAAGCTCCGGGAAGGGCGGGATGGTTCGCGGCCAGTGCGGACGCGGCCGGCAGCCCGGGCCCCTCTCGCTCCTGCGGTCGTGTCAACACAGACGGCAGGTGGTGCGGCCCCGACGCTCCTCCAGTGGCCGCGCTGGAAACTGGCTGCCCCCGGAGCATTTGTCCTCACCCAGGCCTAGCAAGTCGGTGACGAGTCTGAACAGTGCCTCGGGGCAAGCTGGGTTGGTTAAACCGCGTTTTGAGCAGAGAACGGGTACCCTTTGGTCATTTTTGTCCATATTTAGGAGTAAGTGCTACACTCTCTGCAAAGCCGAAAACGTTTCGCATGGGGACCAGCCAGGCCGCTGTTCCATTCTACCGGGAGAGAAACCGGAAGCTGCCAGGGCCCCTTTCGGTGACGTCACATCATCTCTTTCTGCGTCATGGCTGCATGATTAGCATTGGATTTTACTGCTAAGTCACTGCGTTTCAGATCCACTTTTACGGATATGTTGGGAAAATATTAATGTTTCTAATTTTTAAACACCAGTGGCTACTAGTTTTACAAGGTTTTGCATGCACTCATTTAGAGAATACAGCAAGTCAAGCGATCCTCCGGTACTACTGTGTGATCCTATGAAAAGGGTTGTGGTCTCTCTAAAAAATAAGCAAGATGATAGACTCACAGAGCGCATGAGTTCCTCCTCCACGGTTACTCCTGGTCCTTTAGCAGGCCCAGAATCTGTCCACTGCCCCTGGCTGCAAGCTGCATTTTGGATGGCTGGGGATTTTGGCAAAGAAAGTCACTCTGTGGAGTTGGTTTCCTAGAAGAAGTGCATCAAACTCCCTGCCTCAAAGCTGCAGGAAGCCCGGGGTGTGGCTGTCCAGAGTGCAGGAAAACGGTGTTTTCCTCTGGATCCTGGTGCCGGCTCTGAGCAGGGCTGACCCAAGCTACAGTCGGATGAAAATGTCAGCACGTGAAGCTCTTCATCCAGGGCACGCCACCAGGGAGCACTACAGGGGGCTTAAACCCCATGGGGTCTTAATTCGGGGACAAGTCTACATCCTGGGAGCCAGAACGGCTCCTTGCTGAAGAGATTCTGGCGTCTGTGAGACCTGCGCACAGGTTCAGGGGCCCAGGGATGGGTCTTTCCAAGGTTCTGTGCTCGTCTCTGCCATTACAGCAGCAGGGTAGGAGGAAAACCAGATCCCTGTGCCTCCTGACAAAATGCTTCTTCGTGGGAGGGCAGACAGCCGAAGGGAGGACAGGCTCTGTCCCCAGCACCCCGCATTCTCTCGCTGCCTAAGGCAATTCTGAGAAGTTGTGCTGACGAGTCCTTTCCCAGGAGAGCATTCTGCCTGCCCTCCTCCGACCCGGACCCACGGCACGGGTGCACAGCCTGCGTCTGTCTGCTTGTCAGATCCTGTGTTTGGTCCCAGAACCAATTCAGAAAAAAAAATAAATGTCTCAGGGCCCCTTTTATGTTCTGGAGTGAAGGCAGGGTATATGTTATTAGAACTTAATCACCACTGTATTGAATGGGGGGGGGTGACAGGAAAGTGACACGTTTTTGGACACCTCAGGGTGGTTTCTGAGCAATTTGGGAAGTCGTGAGGTGGAGGGCAGCTTTCTTATCTCTCATCCCTCATTTGTTTAGTGCTTTAGGATTCTTACAGTGTGTTTACCCTTGAAACAGCCCAAGAGGTAGGTGTTATCACCTTCGTTTTACCAACGGGGAAGCTGGGACTCGTGGCAAAATGACTGGCCCGAGGTCTCGGAGCGAGTTAGCGGCAGAGTGCTGTGAGGGCGAACCACACAGCTCAGGGATGACGGACTCTGACCGCTTTACTCTGGTCCCCTGCGGAGCACGGAGTCCCCAGTGGAGAGCGGCCCCCACATCCAGGTGCAGGTTGACACATGGGAACACGTATACAGACATGTAAGCCGCTCCAGGGGCCTGCGGGGGATCTGCCCACACCTCTCTATTCTTCTTGCTTTGTGGAAACCGTGCGTCTGAAGCCAGCACGTGGCCTTACGCAGGGCGAGCACACGCGTGGGGCACATCCACCCTGCTCTCAGGCCCGGGCCTCACCGGAACGCCCGTCCCACAGCCACAGTTTGTTCCTCTTCTCCCTTCTGCAGCTTATGTCCACAATACGTTACTGTCCCTCGAGCAGAGAGAGCTTCTGTAGAGATGACGCCTTTCAGTACTATTTGCCCAGCTTCTTCTGGGAGCACAGAATAGACCTCTGTCCTGAGCAGCGTGTCGCTGAGCACAGAAAGGCTTCTCCCGCTTAACTCTTCGAGCTTGGAAATACTGTCGGTCCACGTGCCGTCACGTCTTGACCCGAGAGGACACAGTGGCCGGTACCTACGTGTTCTCCACCAGAAGTGTCACTGCCTCTCTTTCGTGTTTTGCGTTAGCCTGTGGGGCCTGGAGGCGGCTTGCAGAAGCCCTGCGTGTGCCCGTCACTCCCAAGAACACCTTCCATGCCCAGGAGCAGCCCTCGTTTGTGGTGTGAGTCTGGGCTTCTGGGAAAGACGTGGAAGCCCAGGGGGTGCTTGTACCCCGTGTCTGCTCCAGCCTGACCCTGCTCAGAGGAGTCCCGTGGCCCCTGCATGGTGTTTGCACCAAAGGAGCCTGTCCTCGTTTGAGGGACCCCGTTTCTACCGGCTACTGAGGTGGGCAGTGGACGTAAAGTCATTTCTCAAATCACTGCAGACCGCAATGCTTACGATTTTTCCATTCGGTTTCCTCAGGGAACCGGCCACATCTTCAAGGCTTGGGCCAGGGAGACTCTGAAAACCGGACCTCACTGGGCCTGGCGCTGTGTCCGACAGCCGCGCTCAGCCCGCCCCCGGCACCGCCACACCCCTTGAGCACGCGCTCCGGGCTCCTGCCCCTGCGCCTCCTGCCGGGAGGGCCCCTTCCGGCTGCCCCTGGCGTGCGGAGTCCCGCCTGTCCCTCCCGGCAGTGCTGCGGGGTCACTGCCACCTGGACACCAGGGCCACGGCAGGGAGCCGGGTGGAAGCGCACGGCGGCCTGTGTAAACACGTACCACAGAGAGCCAAACACTTTAATTGGTTTGTTTTTTTTTGGAGGCATAATTTAGTCATCTTACCTAAAGCGCCTTTCACTCTCTCGCGATCCAGTACAGAAAACTCAGCACCAAAGAATGAAGGGGAACCCCTCCGTTCCCCATCCCTGCCCTCCCCCTGTGCCTCAGATCCCCCCCGAATGATCACAAAATAAGGCTTACACTCAACCGCACACCATTCTTACTCATATGTGTTCTTTCTCTTACACTCACACACACACACACACACACACACACACGAAAAAACCAAAACCCACTAAAGCGTGATGGGGGAAAAAAGATTTAAGAACATCTTCCTCCCCATCTGGCATCGAGACCAGACTCCCTGGCTTCCCAGCAGGGGCTCACCCCGCTTCGTCCCTGGGTCCCACTAAGGATGACAGTGTCCACCAGTCCCCAAGGTCCCCTCTGGGTGCTGATGTGTCCGGGGTCAGTCGTTCCGTTTCTGCTTGCTGTCGATGTTGCCGTAGGCAGAGCCCTTGTCGATTTCTGTCACCCCAATCATCCATCGGACTCCCATGGAGGCTGCGGAGATGGGAAGGCAGGGACTTAGGAGGAACCTTTGAGGGAGATGCCGACGGGAAAGCCATCTGCAAGGCTGCAGCATGAGCTGAGGGGCTAACCTGGGCCCGTTGCGTCCTCCTGCTGCACGGTTACCCTTGAGCACGAGCGTCAGGATAGACTAAGTGACACTAAAACAGAGCAAGGCTGTTCTGCTGGGGGGTTTTATGCTCCTTCGACCCTTCGAACTGCGTGAGCCACGCTCCACTATACGCAGAGGCTTATGGAATTCCTCTGCTTCCCGTGGGGCCCCCGAGGCAGAGACGATTCCCTCGCGAATGCAGGGCAGGTGCTTACTAAGGCCCCTCAGCGAAGCCTGATAGCCCCCCCAGGAGCCTGGAGATTGCTAGGGCTCAAGTATCTGTTCGGTGCCCGGCACTGCTGTTGGTATAACTATAGAGCAGAGAACAAGGAAAGTCTGCAGAAAGCCTTTTCTCCAAGTGAGGTTTGGCCCAAACAGAGAACGGGAGGGACCCTCGTGAGAACCCAGCTGAGCCACCAGGAAGCTGGGAAACAAGGCCAAGTTCAGATGCTGTAATTAAAGCTACTCCCTCCGAGAGGGCAGACTCGGTGAGCTCGCTCAGGGCAGGGAGCTCGTCTTAATTACCCTGATGAGCCCAGCACCAAACACCGCAGGCCCGGCAGACTGTGTCGCACACGTTTCAGAATGGATAAATGGGTGACAGCTGAAATCTCCGTGACGCACGTGTTTAAAAGTGCGAGCAGCGTGGCCAGTGAACCATCGGTCAGGCACCCGTGGAGCTGACTGGCGTGCCTGAGCACAGCCCGGCCCGATGGGGCCCGTGTATCCCACAGGCCAGTTACAAACCAGCCGGGCTTCAGCCTGGGCCAGTTCTAAGGAGGACCCGTCCCAGTGGCCGAACCACCGTGCGGTGGCTGTGATGAGAGCGTAGAGAGTAAAGAGGTGCATAAGACATCAGCCCCATTGCCCAAAGGCCTTAAAAGGGGAACAAGACACACGGCAATCCAAGACAGAGTGCAGGGAGGCTGGGGCTCGCAGCTGATGAGGCGTAGGGGCAGGGGGCACAGGGCAGTCTGCTCCTCCAGAGCTCCTGGGGACCCCATCTCCTCGGGGAGAGAGTTCAGCCCGTTTTTGGCTCTCACCACACACCTTCATCACCAAGGAGCCAGGTTCTCCCGAAGGCACGGGTCTCTGCCCCCTCCCTCCTCCCACTGGAGACCCTGACCACAGGAGCTGCCTGTCACCTGGCCAGCAGGCGGCAGGGGGCCCTCTGGCCTGTGGGGGAGGGGGACTTAAATCATCAGAAATGGGGTTTCTCTTACACCCCCTTTTTTCTACAGAGAGCAGGCGTTATTTTAATTTGCAACATGAAAATAGACCTTTTAATTTTTAAAAAGACCAGAGTAAGGTCTGTTTGGGGAATAACAGCCAGTTTGGCCTGTTGCAAACAGTCTAGAATTGGTTGGTTTGACCCAAAAGGATGAGAGAGGTCTCGTGTGCTGTGACAAGTGCAGGGGAAGTCCATCTGTGTGAATTTACATACGCACGTGTGCGCGCGTCTGGAGGAATGTGAGCCAAACTGTTAGCGATGATCATCTCCAGGAAGCAGGCTCACGGGGTGATTTTGTCCCAAGACGCTTTCAATTTGACACACTTTTATACTGTTGGCGCCTGGCACGTTCGTTCGGCACCTGCATGTTTCGCGGGAGTAACTGCGCCTGCCCCCGGATCGCGGCACACGCGTCTGCTCCGTCACAGGGAAGCAGGCTGCCCTCTGCCCACGTTTTCCAGTCCCGAGAGAGGATGCCTTTCCTCCCAGACTCGGGGTGACCGGGCCGCTTCGGGAGGCCTGGCTCCCGGGGGATCCTGCCACGTCTCCCTCTGGCCCCAGGGGCACCTGACTGCAGGGAACCTTGGCGCGAAGAAACCACAGCAGTTTGAAACTGCTGTCCGTGAAGCCAGTACGGCTCAATGAAAACGCTGTCACCAAACCCCTCTCTCAGGTGTCGGTGCGCGTGGCAACCAAGTTCAAGAAGCACGCGCACGTCCCCGAAGGGGCCTGGACCTGCTTCGAGTGGCCAAGAGCCTTTGTCGGTTTCTGTTGGGCCCCAGGAAAAGGGTTTTCCTGGGAAGAAGGCAGAAACGACTACAGTTGAGCGGTGCTGTCCGCAGGGACCCCATGACCGGATCTCCTGCCTCGCCGGGCCACGGGGAAAGATTCCTCCAGGCCTGGGGTCCCGGGTGTGTGTGGACACGGGCCCTGCGGTCCGCTCCCCACTGTGCACCTGCAGCCTGCACCCTCACTCCAGAGGCCGTACGGCACCCGTGTGGAGGTGACCCCCACTCCTGCCTCCACCTGTCTCCCCGTCAGACGCTCCTGGAGGTGGCGCGGGTGGGGTGGTCCCTACTTCCGGGCCTCTCGTCTTTACTTACCCACAAAGAAGACGAGGACAAAGCTGGCCAGGGTCAGGGAAGACCCACTGCTGATCATGTTGGTGAGGAACCGGAAGAAAGGGTAGAGCAGCAGGGAGGCCCAGAACAGCCAGTTGATGAGCGTCCAGGGCCGCCGGGGGGGCACCATGGGGGTCTCTGGGAAGGTGCCCGTCCTGTAGTACTCCTCCTGGAAGGCATCCTGGGAACAGAGAGGCGACCCTGAAGCACTTCCCTCACGCGCGACCCCGGGCTGATGCGGGCCCTTCCCAAGGCTCCGCTTCTGGGGGCGGCTCGTGGCCCCCCCCCTCCGGGCCCCCCCC